GCCTTTTAAAGAATTCATGTGCAATCATTTTCAGACTTCCTTTTAGCCGATGACACTTAATTTCCCATGCAAAACAAGATGTGGGTATCTTATCTTCTGACATTGGTTTAACTTATTTCTTGTAAATTAACCAGCAGACAAGCAACAATTAGATCTCTCATTGATTTGTTTTCTTGGTCTCAAATGTTAAAGTATATGATGGGTTCTAGCATCCAATTTCTTGTTGGGGAGACTACTGAGAGATTTGAATGATGATGTTTTAGCTTGTTTTTGAGCTTTTATTACTAGGATGGCTAACTTTGGAAGAGAATAATCCTCATATTTGAAGCAAGTATACAAGCACTGTCTCTAGATGTTTTAAATGGTACTTCAGCCTGGACTGGTGTGTCAAATTGCTAAAGCCAAAGAGAATCCATCCATATTGGTTTTAAGACTTCTTTGAAAAAGGTTTAATTTATGCTTCCATTTAAAAATTACCTTTTAAAGAATATATAATAAATTCTATGATTTAAATATATAGAACACTTGATGTTTGTGTATGGTGTTTTCTCCTTGTTAAGCACATCATGCAAGCCTAGTATCTGTATTTTAGGAAGAAACTTTACCTTAAAGCTTCTTTTTTGAGAGAGAGAGAGAATATGAATCTTTTTTTTTTTTTTGTAGATAGACACAACACAATGCCTTTATTTTTATGTGGTGCTGAGAATTGAACCCTGGTCCAGCCCATGCTAGGTGACCGCTCTACTGCTGAACCACAATCCCAGCCCAAGCTTCTTAATTAATATATAGAGACATTGAAATTAATTTCTTGATTACAAATAACAAATCTTTTCAACATTTGAAAAGAAAAAAAAATCCTATTTACTTAGCAGTTTTGATTTGCAAAGATGGAACTTTTAAAATGAATACCTCCAAGATTTCTTTACCTGTGGAAAGGTTCCTACATGAGAACAGTTTTCTAAAGCTAGTGGTTCTGTTAATCTGATTTTCTAACCAAGTGTGATTATAAAAGCTTTTCACCCAGGGACTAGCTACCTGCCTCAGGTGGATGGACCATGAACAATTTACATCACTGCTTTATTATATCCATGAGAACATTTGCACAGAAACTTTATTTAAAGAATCTGGGAGTGCTTGCTTCTCACTGAATATTTGCCACAAGTCCATAGGGTAAATGCTGTGGTTATTTCCTTCAAGTAAAAGCTATTCACTGTATAAAGAAGTCACAGCTATAGTGTTTCAAGATATATGAGTATATTGTAAAGGAATGGGACTTCCAGTTCACATATCATGCCATTTCTTCATGTAGATATCCCTGGGGAATCATATTTTTAAAAATATAAGTAGTATCTGGAGTAGATAGGAATAACAGATCATTTGCTTCTTGCTGCTGACATTTGCTGAGACTCTTATAAAGATTTTCCCTGGGCACATGAATCAGTTCAATAATGATTGCTGTCAGTTGGTGGCTAGACATCAAACTGCCAGCCTACTCCACAGCATTGCCATCTGCTATTTGGATTCACAGTGTGTTGCTGCTATGTATCACCTCATTAAGAACGGGACCCTTGTGAGCCATAGACAGTAGCTTATTCAAGTGAACAAGTGAGCTGAAGCCAGCTCTTCCCCAAGCCAAATTTGTAGAGACTTCCTGCAACTCATCTCATTTGAAAATTGCTCTGTGCTGATCAGGCAGTCTGGTAGCTCATTGTCTCTGATCATTTGGTGTTAAGTCTTTCAAGCCAGCTCCTTGTTTTAATGCAACATCAAAATACAAATATGATTATTTGAAAGACTTGTAAAAATATTCAATACAGGTTTTTTTGGTTGTTGTTGTAATAAGAGTCACATCTTGAAATGATTAGTTGCTATTGGCTTGTCAAGTACAAATATTTTTGTAAGCTACGTATATTACAATCCACGGGACTTTTTTGGATAGATCTCTCAGTTTTGAGGATTTTTAATTTTTTTTTTTTTTTTTTTTAGTTTTGTGGGATTCCTACTGCACAGTTTTTATTTCTTGGAAACAAATTTTCAAAGGCTTTCATCATATTTTCCCTTTTCTTTTTCTACTACATTTTCAAAGGCAGCAGTGAAATGCAAAATATTTTGTTAGAAAATAATGCCTTTCATTCAACAACCACTGATCACTTAAGAGATTTAAACATTTTTTCAGAAAAAGAATTTCACAGATCATATTTAATTCTTCTCAATATACCTCAATAGGTAAGGTACCATGAGCACTGAAGAGTCACATCTCAAAATTGGGTTAGTTTCAAATTTCAAAGGAATTTATGAGTCCATTCTCCACATAAAGACTTAGCCCAGTTCTCTTATCTGCACTTTGTTGCAGCCAGAATATGTTTCTTAAATGCTATGCTTGTTGAGTAGTTAATGAGAAAAAGCTTTTGTGGGCAAACAGCATCAGGAAATTGGGGCTCTCAGACAGAACTCTGAGATACATATAGTTTAACTGCAGGATGTTTATTAAAAATGCCTTTTAGGGCTAGTGGTATAGTTCAGTGGCAGAATACTTGTCTAACATGCACAAGGTCCTGAGCTCAATCTGCAGTAATGAAAGTGAAAAAAGTGCCCTTTGGGTAAAACTTGTAGACAAGAGAAGAGGCAGGATTTGGTGGAGTGAGAATCTAGGTTGTAATGCAGGTCCAGTAACAATGCCACACATCACAGGAAGCTCTGGAGTTAGAATGGCCTTCAGAGGAAAACACTGAGCAAGAAGACAACTTTTTTATTCTTGCAGAGATCAATCACTGGATATGGACCCCCCTCAAAAGGAGTGTGATCTTAGATAAAGTGATTCTCTGCAACTGAGGCAATTCTGGAAAAGGCTTGACAGCTGTACCTTGCTTGCTAACAGTTCACCTAGCAAACGGGGAGCAAATACCTCTTTGAAGTGCCACTCTTTATAACACTACCACATGGGACAGATTACAACATGTCTTTGGAAAAGGTGCACAAAACATTCACATGTGAATAACTGAGAATTTGGCAGTGAAGAAACTTTCTAATTTTCCATAATTTGATAAATATCTCCACAATTGTATAGTACCTTAAAGGCTGTGTAAAAAGAACTGCATATATATGGTTTGCTCCTGGCTCACCTGCCCTTCAACAGTGGTCTATCGTTCCTGCCTGAAACTTTGGTGTTGCCATAAGTTGACTTGTAAGTCAAATACTCAGGTGTAGGAAAACTGGCTTTATTTTTCCATAATTGAATTTTATTTCTTAAGTTCTCATTCTATCTAGTGGGAAACACACATGTACTCCCTGATCCTTAATCTTAGATAGTTTCCAGATAAATGTAGTCATTACACTTTAAAATAAATTAATACGATATTTTCTCTTTCTCTTAGTTTCTTGAAAATATTATAACAAAATCTGTATACTGGATAGATTATAAATAACAGAAATTTATTTCTCATACTTTTGGAGCCTGGAAAATTTGGATCAAAATGCTAGCAGATTCTGTGTCTGTAAGCTCACTTAATGTTCAAGAACAACTGTGTTCTCCCATTGTAGAAGTGGTGAATTTGTGTAGTTATAAAAGAAACCACCTCAGGCAACTGTACAAATCTCTGAAAGGGCTCACCTTCTAATACTGTCACTTTGGGGCTCAGAATTTCAACATATGAATTTAGTGGGGGTGGGCATATAAACATTCAGAACGTAGTTCTCCTCTTCTACTCAGAGTTGCACCTAAGATTCAGGGAACAAGGCGATGTCATGGCATCTGATTCTTGGTTGGCATCTATCAATGTTTGGCATCAACTGATATGAACAGGGTCCTTTCTGGAATTCAATCATATCTCCCTCTGTGCTGGCATGTGATGCATTCCAGAGATTCACACTGCATCTTTGCCAAGAGTCTCTTGGGTCTGTCAGCTGTTACGATAATTTCTTTATGTTCTTAACTATACCAAGAAAATAATTTTCTTGACCTCCCTCTCCCTACCCCATGGTGACTAAGAGGCAGTATAGGATCCATGTCCCAGGGCACTCAATGCAGGTGTTTTAACCTCAGTATCCACTGCCACAGTGTCAAAGCCACTTTCACTAATCAGACAGGAGCAAGGGCATGAGTCTCTCCATTCTTAGATAATGCACATTTTCTCTGGGGTTTCTTTTACATTCTATTTTTCAATATTGAACTCCTTGTCAGGAACTTTCAACAGTAATCAAGTTTCCTGTATTCTTTCCAACTGGAATTTACATTTTTCTCACTTAGTGCTGAGATTTTTTTTTTTTTTTCCTCCTCTGAGTGAGTTTGGAGGAGTATGGCCTGGAGAAAATTCGCTAGACAAATATTCATCCAACTCTGATTTTGAATGCTGTGATTTTGGTCCTTGAAACTAAAAAGCCAATAACTAACTTTTCTTTTGCATATTTCTTTTGGTGGCTCTTTTGTGGTTTCTTTTTCCCAAAACATTCTGCTTATAATTTAGTTTGAGTGGGGAAGTGAGCTTGGGCAGGGGATAGGTACTGAAGAAAGGAACAAAGCTTTCTTTGACTCTAGATTTAAAAAATGCCCAGTTTTATTACTCTCTTTTATTCCAGTAGTCTATTATCATACCATTGTACCAAGACCAGATGGTCTCAATTTCTGAAGCTTTGTGATGGGTCTTGATATCTGGTGTTAGTAAGCCCTATTGCTCTTATACAAGACTGACTTGGCAATTGTAGGTTCTATTTCCATATGCATTTTATATTGAGTTATAGATTTCCTTTTAAAAAAAGTCACCTGGGATTTTGATTTGGATTACATTCACTCTGTCTACAAATACAGAAGTAAATTTAAGACATTGATCTTGAACTATTAAGTCTTCCATCCATTGTTTGTACTTCTATTTATTTTAATCTTCTTTAATGTCTCACTAATGTTTTCTGGGTTTGTTGGAATGTGATGGACATCATTATACAAAGTACATATATGAAGACTTGAATTGGGTGTCAACATACTTTATATACATAGATAAGAAAAATTGTGGTATATTTTTATTAAGAATTGTATTGCAAAAAAACCCAAAATACATGTAAAAAGGCATAAATTGACACAAACATATACAGAGATACAAAAAACTGTGCTCTATATGTGTAATAAGAATTGTAATACATTACACTGCTGTCATGTATTTTAAAAACATTAAATCAATAAAAGATAAAAAAAGAAGAAAACCCGTAAATCTTACAATGTTTACTCTTAGGTATTTGTGGCTTTTGATACTATTGCAAATATTAAATATTTGAATTTGTTCAGTTGATCCAATGTAAGGATGTGCAATAACATGATATTTTGACCTTGCTAAATTTATACAATCATTCTTATGGTTTGGAGAATATTTTGGAGTTTCTACATTCACAATCATGTAGTCAGTGATACATTTCATTATTTCTTTCCCAATATTAATTCCTGCTTTTTCTCTTATCCCACTTCTTCTTTGCCTGGCTAGGAAATAAAGTGAAATGCAGAACGGAGTTGCTAAAAGTGAACATATTCATCTTAAATCTCAATGTGAGGTTGGGGGGAAGATTACTTATTTTACCTTTATTTTTGTGGTATTGGGAATGCACCCATAGGTGCTTTTACCACTGAGCCATACCCCCAGGCACTTGTATTTTGAGACACAGTCTTGCTAAATTGTCCAGGTTAGCTTCAAACTTGTGATTCTCCTGACAGCCTACTATGTTGCTCTGATTATAGGCATGTGCCTCTGTGCCTGGCTATCTGTAGATTTTTAATAGATTATTAACCTAATCAGGTTAGAAAGCTTCCTTTCCGTTTCTAGTTTGCTGATAATTTGTATTGTTAATGATTGTTGACTTATTGGCTTTCTCTGCATCTACTGATGTTATTATATTTTTTTTCTTATTTATTCTGTTATATGTGAATTAATTTTCAAATGTTGAACCAGATTCATGATGTATTAGTCTCTTTATTGCATATTTCATTTGATAATATTTTGTTTAATATCTGAGCATCAAGATTTGTGATCTTTATTGGCTTCTGAGTAGAAAAAGAGTTAATCAGCTAGCCTCTGATTAATTTCTCTCTGAGAGACATCTTGGGAGATGTTTCAGGAAAGAAAAAAAGTAGGCAATGTAGGTGAATCTTCTTGTACACATATTGATAATATATTTCATTCAAATAATGTAATATTAATTACTAGGAGGTAAAATTTTATCTATAAATCATTTTCACAGGATATCCCTGATATATGACTGATTGTGAAAAAGAAAACCAAACTGTATATAAACTTACAAAACATGGTTCTCAAGAAAATATTGTATAAGTTACATTAACACCTGGATATGAGAAAGATAAACATCCTAACCTAACATGCTGTATATTAAGAATGGTCATGAGGCTCATATCACTACATTTTGGCTAAAAAGTTTATCCAATTCAAGAAGGAACCATCTTGGAGTCCAGGACACTATTCAAGACCTCTGTCTGCTTTGAGTGTGCTGCATGACTTACATAATCTTAAGATGAGTGTAACCTTATAATGAATAAAATCCATTATTCTTGTGAGCTTTTGAGTCTCATTTGCCAATCCTTGCACATTGGTTCCATTTACAATTTTCTTTTTTGCAATGTGTCTGTCAGATTTGGGTATCAAAGTTATGCTTGTCTTCTATAATAAGCTGAGAAGTGTTTTATGTTTTCTTATTAGGTTTAAAAATCATTAAGCTTGATATTTTTTTCCTGCTTAAATGTGGGAAGAGCTTACCAATGAAGTCATGTGTCTGGGCAGTACTTTGTGGAATGTTATGCTCCTCCTCTCATGGAAGATGCCAGAAAGGCCCATTCTCAGCAAGGCAATAGGTAGGCGTGTGCTCCTAAGTTGCCTTTATTCTTTCCTAGCTGCTAGGAAGATAATTATAGTTAAAATCAGCATGAAGTTGGTGGAGAAATGAATTTTAACATTCCTTTAACTAAGGGGCCAGAACAAGACTAGGAAACCAAGCATTTGTTTATTTAGAGGAACTTTATCAGGACATAGTATTTTCAAATCTGTGGTAGCCTTGAATGCCCCTCAAAATTCACTGTCAAAACTCTACTGCCAATGTGATAGTATTAAGAAGAGGTGTGCTTAGGAGTTGATTAAGCCATGAGGTTGGAACCCTCATGAATGGGACCATAACCATTCAAAGAGCTATAGAGAACTAGCTATGTCCCCTTTGCCCTTCTAACCCTTCTGTCATGTGAGGACACAGAGTTTGCCCCTCTGAACACTGGTACTTTGACCTTGAATTTCTAACCTCCTGAAATGGGAGAAATCAATTTCTGTTCTTTATCAATTACCTAGTCTCAGATAATTTGTTGTAGCCACACCAATGGATTAAGATAGCATCCTAGAAAGAACCCCAGGGGATAGGGCAAATCCACTAATGCAGCCTAAAAGTAGAGATGGTCAACACTGAAATGTCCACACTGATCTGGTAAAGGGCAGGATAAGGAATAAAGAGGCTGAGAGAAATAGTCATCCTGAAATGGATAATATGAGGCTAGAAAACACACAAGATTTTGTTCCAAGGGGGGGTCCCAGAAGACACAATTCACTAAGACCACCAACAATGTACCTGTGTGAAGGTCCAGTATCATTAAGATAAGTGGATGGCTCTTCTTTTTAGACAGGGCTGATGATGAGGCAGTCAGAGCTTGGCTTATTAATATCATTCAGGGGTAATGGACACTGAAGTAATAGAGGTCCCCAAAGACTGGAACTTAATACCACAAGCAAAAAGGCCATAATTCATCTAACAACTAATGAAATTGGAGGGGTAGTTAAGTGGGCTTGACTCACAGCATGTTTGTGAGATGATTAATTGAAGGTATCACCCCTACAGGCAGAACACACAAGCAAGTAACAAGGATGTTGCTTAATATTTATAACTAAATATCTATAACCAAATAAGGTGAATATGGAAAAGGAAGAGTTTGAGGATACTACCCCAATTAAATATCATGATTCCTTGTTCAGTTCCAAAACCTGAGGGAATTTTCAGATAAAGAATCCACAAATGGAAGAGGTACTAGTTTCCTACAAGGAAAAGGAAAAGACCTGGTTAGAAATGGTGTGTGTGTGTGTGTGTGTAGGAGGGGTATAGTGATGAATCCTCAAGTTCTTCCCCATATGAATTCATGGTCATTTGCTAAAGTGACTATGTTAACACTGGCAAAAGAGAATATCCAAACATTCCTAGGATTATTTGGCCTAGGGTTCAAGTTGACATTGGTGTCTAGTCATCTTAGTGGCAGCCAGGCCCAAATGAAGATGTACAGAATAAGGAATAAACTGAGTCATGAAAATTTACCAGTCAGATCTCTTGCTAAGGGGAGCTTATATGAAAGAGTGTCCCACCTACTGCTCTCTGAACCCACTGATATTTTCTTGCCAAGGCTACATCAGAACAATGACTAAGAAAGCAGGTATATTAATGCAGGCTTATCCCTAAAATAGTTCTCCAATGAGAAACTTTGGCTTCAGTGTTTTTCATTAGCTGACCTGAAACTGTAATTGTGCTGCAGCATAATGTCCCACTATTTAATGGTCCTTCCTCCCTTTTCCTTCTATAGTAGCCAGGGTTCTCCAGAAAAACAAACAATAGGATCTGTCCGTATCTATCCAATCATTCACCCACTAATATAGATATTTATCATAAAGAACTGGCTCTTGTAATCTTGGAGGCTAAGTGCCATGATCTGCCCTCTAAAGAGCTGAGAGCCAGGAGCACTGAGGCTGTCAGTCCCAGCCCAAGAGCAGAAGATGGAGTCCTACCCTAATAGGCAAAGAAAAAATGTTTCCTTCATCTTTTTGTTTTATTCGGGCCCTCAGCAGATAGGATGATACCTGCCCATACCTGGGATTAGTCTGTTTACTCAATGTGTTCAAATACCATTCTCTTCCAGAAACACCCTCATGGACACCCCAGAAATAATGTTTAACCAGATATCTTGGCATACTAATACTGTGACCCAATAATGTTGACACACATAAAGTTAAACCTTGCACCTTCACAGAGGTCAGACAAGTTATGTGGTCTGAAGATTCTACCTCTTCTGGATTCTTCTCCATTTCAACCCTCAGAGGAATTTCCCCAAACAAATCTTTTAGAAATTAAATTCTATCTTTATATGTGCTTCTTGCAGGACTACAACTAACAAATTTGGATTTTGTTCAGGCAGGTGGTTACTTGAAGATTGGTTTTATAATATTCAACTTGCTCTTGGGGGGAGGGGGCAGTTTTTATTCAAAACAGTTAGCCCTATCTATATTATGTGTAACCTTTTAGGGATCTTTGGCAAATCCCTGGAGTTCTCAGGGAGGACTCTCCACTATAACTAGATGGAAATTAAATGTTTCCAAGTCTAATGTTAACTTTGAGTATGGTTAGGCTTAATGTTCAGCAATGGGCACAAGAGGATCTCTATGTATGTTTTGTGCAGTTTTTTCTCTGCATACCTTCCGCTTCACTTAATCCCTACCCTGAAAATTCAAACCATTCCAGTTTCAACTCATCTTTTTCTCAACTCAGCAAGAATGCTCTGCTTATGTTCCTTCTCCTGAATTGCTCCAGAGTGCTCATCTGCAGAAAATCAAAGCCACTGTAGGTTTTGCCTTGTGTTGTTCTCTGAATTATCAGTCCTTTGCTACCAGGTGTCCAATGTCTGTCTACTTCTCTCCCTTCACTTGCTCCCCACTGCTCTGGCTTTTTGAAACAGCAATAGTCAAGATTTTTATACAATTTCTTATGTGTGAATTTAGAGCTGTAAGCATTTGCTTTCATAGAATTTGGTTTTGATGGTGTTTTTTCATTAGAACTCATTTTGAAATATTTTCTAAATTCTGTTGTGATTTACTGTTTGACCCATTGGTAACTAGGCTTATGCTCCTAACTTACAAACATCTGGAATTTTTTTGTTATCTTTATGTAATAAACTTCTGGTTTAATTCATACTAAGTATGATTCAATCTTTTGAAGTTTGTTGAGACTTGTGATCCAGCCTATGGTCAGTGTTGGTAAATAAATATTCTAAAGTATACCTTAAAAAAAAAACAAAACAGAAATTCTAATGTTTTGGGATGTAATGCTCTACGTCTTGTTCGCATGTTTAAAGTGCTAATAAACAGGAGCTCGACACATATTGAGTTGAATAACTCAAATACTACACTCTATTAATGAAAATTCCAAACGAAATAAAAGTAGATAATACTCACAGAAGAAAGCCAAGCGAAATCATGCAGTTCCCCAGAATCCAACCAACATTAATGACAACCCTATATGTGATCCCAATTATTTTTCTTCTTATGTTTCTGCCTGTTTCTTTTCATTAGTTGTAAGCTTTGTAATACTAGTGTTGTATGACTGTAGAAAGTAGTATCCTGTGAAAAGTTAATAACATTGATTTATAAAGCTCATGGAGATACATGAAATGGTTAATTTTATTCTTCATTTTTCTCGAAACAATTCATGACTATTTCTGATATGACAGAAGTTTAGACAGTATCTAATATCTCTTTCCAATGGTCAAAATTTTTCAAGTAGAATCATTTTCAGTTTTCCAAGTTCCACTGTCACTTTCTCTTTCTTATAAACTTGAGGTTAAACTTGAGGTTAAAACTGGTATAAACATATAACCTTCCTATTTAACCCTTCTATCAACTTGTTCTGGATATTATGATTATAGTAAAAAGGGAGGAAACCAATTTAGACAGGTCTAACCGTGTGTTATGCAGGCTTATAAAATGCCTCTTCTGTACTCTCAAGTCTTTTAACCTGATTCCAGCTGCAGCTCTGGTGAATAGTCTAGGAAGTTTTACCCTGCTTCATGCTGACAGTGCCATATGTCAAGCATGCACGAAGAATCAAGCCTCCTGTCCCAAAGCTTCTCTGTTGCAGCAAGGTGTGATGTCCTATACCAGAGAGGCACCTTGTGACGGGGACTCACTGCAGCTGTCAACACAAAGCAGATGGCTGCTGACATAAAAATATTTCTCCCTTTCATCCCTCAGGAATATAGCTCTGAAACAAAGATTCTTGAGAAGGTTATATATTATGCAACCATTCACAGTAGTGTACCACTTGAAAACACTACCTTGTTTTGCTTTGATCTTTTCCATTTCTCCCTCTTCATTTCTCTTTCACTCCTTCTCCCTGGGATCAAATTCCAAACAGAATGTCTTTACCTATGTCTCAGGCTCTGCTTTTTAAAGAATATCCTAGATTGAAACAGTAGGAAAGTAGACTGTTGGTAGATTATACAATGCAGGAATATAATTTTCCTTGACTCTGCACATGCTACAAAGAAATATTCATTCAGTAGGCAGCATAGTTGGTGATTTCCATCTCTTTTTCTTTTTGAAAGCTCATCATACTTCTTGAGCCTGACCACGTAAAGAAAAAAAAAAGGTGGTTAAAAACTAGCTTATAATAGGCGGATTTCTTTGATGATGGCTCTAAGCATTTTTCTGTGTGAAAGGGTCCTCAGCAACTTGAATACTCATATGTATTATGGAAGAACCCTCAGTCAACTTATCAGGTAAACCTTTTTGTTGCTTTGGAAACAAACCTATTACATTTCTTATACTCCTTGGTATAAAGCTGGATCTTTTACGATTCTAATCCTCTTTGCTAAGAAACTCAAACATAACTTAAAAAAGCATGCCTTACTGGACTTCTAATAGGTCTAAAAAATGCCCTGAGAGATACAGAGTTATTAGGAGTAAATTTAAGGTTGTCCATATGTTAGCTTTGAGTAAAATTACAATTTCTTACTCATTGGAGACACTACAGAGAAGAAAATTGATTAAAATCCCTCCCTTATGGAAAGTATATTTTAGTAGAACAGAAGGTGAGACAATAAACAAATTAAATAATTAAAACATTGCACTTAAAATAAGGGGTATAGGTAAAAATAAACTATGGATGATAGTATGACTGAATCATATTCTTTCCACAAAATTCATGTTTCTTATAATGTAAGTATATTTGCACATAAGGATTTTAAGGTGGTAATTAAGTTAGAATGGGGGCTTAAGGTGGGGCTCTAACCTAATCTAACTAGTGTCCTTACAAGAGGAAATTTGCTATAAGCACAGAAGAAAAACCACAGGAGGATATAACTACAGGTGGCCAACTACAAGTCAAGGCAAGAAGCCTCAGGAGAAACCAAACCTACCAACACCTTGATCATGGACTTCAGTCTCCACAACTGAGAAAATACAACTTTGTTGTTTAAGTCAATCAGTCCATTAGCTCTGGCAGCACCAGCAAAATAATGTATATGGGAGAGAATGTGCAAGCTTTTTGCTTGCTTATTGAATATATAGGTCTAACAGAGATAATGACATTTGAACAAAGACCTGAGGAAAAGAGTCAGTACAGAATATTTAGGGGAGGAACATTCTATAAGAAGTAAAAGCAATCCCCAAATCCCTGAGTTGGAGAGAGATCTGTATGGTTTGAGACATAAGCATAGGAAACAGTGGCAGATCATGTGACAAAGATTCTCAATGCATGTAGGCCCATATTGTTCACTGTAGGGATGTTCTGAAAAACTGTGAAGACATTTTGACATTAGATTGGGATGGTACTACTGGTCTTTAGTAGACAGCATTTATGCTAAATTGACAGTTATGCTAAGGACAGTTCCATCTAATGAGATATTTTCCCACATTCTATGTGACTTTAATATGCCCTAGTGCTCATTTCAGGTGATAAACATTTTCTAAAATTTGAGTGTGGGTAATGGTTACATTCATCTGTGAATATACTAAAAAAACCATACTGAATTCTATACTTCAAATGTATTAATTGTATGGCATGTGAATTCTATTATAATAAAGTCATTAAGAAAACAACAGATATATAGAGGATAAATTCTGCATATTCATACAACTAAATACCATATTAGCATATAAACAATTAAAAAATTTAAAAAGAGCTGTTACATTAAACATGCACAAACTCAAATATAACATGGAGTGAAAGAAACCAAACACTATAGAATACTTATTGAATAAATAATTTCATGTAAAATTCAAGAACATAACAAAACTTACCCATATATCTAAGGATAAGGTAGTGCGTATATTTGGGGAGAACTCTGTGACTGGACAAGGGAACAAAGGATGCTTCTAACAGTTTATTTCTTGATCTAGATTGTGATTGCCAGGGTATGTTTGTATTAGTTTTAAAGCTTACTGAACTATATTTACAATTTGTGCACTTTTTTCTATGTTGTACTTAAACAAAAGTTTAAGATTAAAAAAAAGTCTAGCTGTTCTGTAAGTTTCCTATCAGTTTGTGATGAAAAAAAGGACTAAAAGAATACATAAATATTTTAAGTTATTTTATATGGATTAGGTTTGTGGAGAATTTTTGTCTATATTCTTTTCATTATTTTCTAAATTACCATAGTGGACATATATTAAATTTTTTACTAGGGGAAAAAAGCTATTAAAATAAGTAGTTTGAGATTTCTTGAATTCGTTTTCCACTAAACAAGTTTACTCGAAATGTAGGGGCTTTGGTTTTTGCTCTTAGATGAGAAGTAACTGTCACTTCAGAGCAAAGAATGATCTGGCTGCCAGTGTGTATTTGTGTGTGTGTAGTTCATGCACACTGCAGGGGGCGGGTGGTGGAGCAGGGGTTCCTGGTGGCCTTGATGAATACCAGGAACTCACCATCTGCCTCCAGGAGAAAAGGCGGAGCACAAGTGTAGGATTTAAGAGATGGTGAACTAAGCCTAGGGGTGATGCCCAAGCACAACGTGGGGGGCGGGGGGAGCACAATCCTCACAGAACCCAGGTCGTTAAAGGCGAGCAAGTCAGACCAGCAGTGGTGGGGAACTCACTGAGTTCTCAGCCTCTGAGCCAGGCAGTGCATGACTAGCCTCTAATCACTGTCTGCTGAGTTTTTTTTTTTTTTTTCTTTTTTTTCCCCTCTCATTTTACAAGCTTACTAAAACTGACAAAGACGAATCTGTGACAGAGGCAGCTTCTGGTCTCCAAATCCTAAAATATTTGCTATTTGGCTCCTTACAGAATAAGTGTGTCAATCCCTTAATTAGAGAGTCTATTTAGAAAAATTTCTTAAAGTACTTAAAATTCTTACCTGAGAATGGGCTTGCTGGCGAGGAGCCGGGTGTGGAACGAGTGTGCCAGGCTGCACTTGTACCGCGCGGTGTAGTACTGCCCAGGCTCGGCCGACTCGGAACTTAGAATCCGCTTCAGAGAGTGTCAAACTGCACCTCTGAGGAGTCCAGCCTGGAAGTGGGGATGGCCGGGCCCTTCCTGGTCTGTCCAAAAGGATAAGGATGCTCACCATGGCCTTCAGCAGATTGCAAGGGAGGGTTCCGATCTTCCCACCGGGAAGGCATCTTTATCATTCCTGGAGAAGCCAACGGAGCCTCCACCGGGATTTCTTTTCCGCTTTCGGTCGTAATCACTAGCAGGTTCCGAAGGGAGTGCGGAACTGTAGGTAACTTGGGATGAAGCCCCAGGCCAGTGGGGGTGGCCGCCCAATGCTTTCACAGAGACAACGCGCCCCTCCCCGCGCGGGCTACGCCCCCGCCCCGCCCCACGCAGGCTCCTCCTCGTCCCACCCCGCATAGGCTCCGCCCCCTCGCAGGTTGGCTGTTTCCCTGCCCGCGAGTGGGAAGAGCGAGCCGCTCCCTGGGCGCTCGAGGGTGGAAGGCCCTTTGCAGGATTTGGAGAGTTGTGAGCATTGTAATCCTTTACCCTTAAATCCTGCCCATGTTTGAGCTATACGAAAGACAATTACGTGTGATTCAGCCTAATAGCTCAGTGTGTATACCCTGAGAGTAAGGGGTTTCCTACCTCAGGGTTTCTCGACCACCGGGCTGTTGGCGTTTGAGGCAAGAAGGTTTTTGGAGCGTGTGGAGGGGGCATGTTGTGTAGTAAATAAGCAATGTCTAGGCTATACCTACTAAATACCACCAGCATCCCCTCCTTCCCAAATACTGACAATCCAAAACGTCCCCACACGTTGCCACGTACCTGTGTGGTGGTGGCGAGGGGAGCAAAATCGCCAATATCGACATAAGCCATATAACATCAGATTCACGGTACAAGGATCATCATTAGGGAATGTGACATTGCTACATTACTGAAATCAGGATAGAGTTCGTATATTTTGACTTCCTCAATTGTCTCCAAAATGTCTTTGTTTATTGTTGGTAAAAGAGAAGCCTGGGATTAAGTAAACCCTGACACATATTACATTTAGTTGTGAAATCTCTTTAGTTTTCTTGATTTAGAGCAGTTCCCCAGTCTCTCCCTCCTTCCCTCCTTGTCTCTCCCTCTTCCCCTCTCCCCTCCCTCTCCCTCTCCCCACCCTTTTCTTTCTTAATTGACATTTTTAAAAAGTCTAAGCCGGTATGCCTAGTCTTCCAGAATATCCTTCACTTTACATGTATGTACACAACAATTTTATCTGTTTTTCCAGGACTATTTTAAATGAGTGCCTTAATTTTTTTTAAAGTACCTCCTCAGTGATTTAAGAAGGAAATTTATATATATATATATATATATATATATATATATATATATACACACACACACACACATTTTTTATTGTTCTTTGGTCTACATATTTTTTGTTCTTTCCACTGTTTATTTTACACATTTGTTAAATTTAAGCTGTTTTGATTATGAAGAATATAATAGATTTCAGTATCTGGTGAGGCTGGTCCTGCCTCATTGCTGCTTTGTGTGTGTGCATGTGTGTTTGTGGGTGTTTTCTATTTTTGCTTATCTTTTTCTGTTTATGGAATCTAGCTATATAAAAATAGTTTAACATTGGCATCAATTTATGATATTGCATTTTCCTATTGAAGTACAGTATTTCCTTTTCTTTTTACTCAAGTCCCAATTTTGTGTCTTTCAGGAAAACTGGAAAGTTTTTCTCCTATAATTTTTCACATTGTTATATTTATTGCTAAGATATTTCTCTTTTGTGGTATTAGTGTAAATGGGATCATCTCTTTTATTTTTCTCTGTAATTGTTCATTGCCTAAAAAATGAGCATATTGATTTTTACATGTAATTTTATATCTTGCTGCTATGTTTAATCTCCTATGGATTCTAGGAGTTCTCTGTTGAATCTATTTGCGTATTGTAATAACTTTCATATAATTGCAGTGATTACTTGCTTTGAAGTTTAACTTGCTCATCTTTAGCCATCTTTGGTTCTTTGTATATTTGATATACCTTCAAGTGTCCTGATGGTGTCCTTGCAACATGTCTTTTACCTGTGTAGTATGTACATTTACAACATGTTTATTGCTTCAGACCTAGAATCAACTATTTCTCAAGAAGCCTTCATTGCCTTCATGACAATGATAATTGGAGACTACACTGTGTGCACTTAAGGATGTTCATGGCTAAATGATTACTTCTCAGCCTTTTCAATACAAGATCTACAAACTATGTAGTCTTTAAAAGAAAAAGCAAGAATTTGTTATACTATTTAAGTTTTAATAGAGTGCTATAGGATTTTTAACTTATTTGATTTTGTGTTGTACCTTTTCTCTTATGCGGAAAAGCACAGTTCCCAATTATTCTAACATGATTATTTACTTTTTCCCATAATATTACAACTACTAGTATAAATTCTAAGCATAATTTAATCAAAGTAGGTTTGTTTCATGTTGTTTTCAAATCTAGGTTTGCTTCATTAAAAGGAAATTAAATCCAAAGTGGGTTGGAGGAGAAAATCAAGTGGAATATCTAATTCATGTATTTAATCCTCTAATTTTTATTACTACAAACACATTTTTGACTTTTGTTCTAAATATCTTTAGCTATATTTTGTAGACTCTGATGCTACATTTTAATTTTTTTCTAGATGTTCTCAATATCAGTTTATATTTTCATTTGATTCAAGCTCCAAGCTCCGTTTAACAGAAAATTATAAAATTTCAAGGTGAGAAATCTTTTTCATGTTTGATTGTTATGGATTGCTGGTTTTGTCATAATGGTTTGTGTGTGTGTTTATGTGTGTGTGCGCGCGTGCGCATGTGTGTGTGTTTTGCTGGGGATTGAACTTAGTTCCCTGTGCATGCTAGCAAGCATTCTATCTATAAGCCATACCCGTAGCCCTATCATACTATTTATAGAGAATTTTATTTTTATTTTTATGTAATTTATTGAAGTTGTAATATGTAAATTATGGAGCCACTTTTAATAATTTTTGTCATGGATTAAGTCTGTTAGTTGTGTATTCCAGTTTTTCTTTGAATATCTTGTAATTTTTGCTGAGGAAAGTGCTGTGTTACTTTCTGAATACTTTTTCATAAATATTTTGTTTGCATTGTGAATTGTAGCATTATAAGGTTTGTGCGTGTGTGTTGATAATGGATTTTAGTCTCCATTCTTGTTTCTTGGATTTCAAAAATCTCTGTTTTTCCTTTTTTAAATTTGCTTTTTCTCTTTATCCCTTTCTCTATCCTTTCTTTGTTCATATCATTTCTTAATTGTTTTGCTCTAGGTATGTCTTTATATTTTACATATAGCAGTTAATTTTTTTTGAGGATTAACCCAGTTTTTTTTTTCCTTTAAGTAATGGGGTTAAGCCTTCCATTGACTATTATATTTGGTCTGTTATCTCAAAAATTATATTAATGTGTAACATATGGTATAACGTGGTGATAAGTGCTATTAAGAAGAAAGGAAAGGATAGGAAAAGTTAAGGAGAATATTCCATTTTAAATAGGTGACCAGGGGAGGTCTCACTGAAAAAGTGTCTTTTACACATACTTGAAGTGGATGAAGGAATGATTCTTTTTTGGATAAATGAAGTCAGATTGTTCTTGAGGAGAGAACAATTTGGGGAAAAGCCCCAGGACACAAGAACACCTGGTATATTGTCAAAAACAGCAAGGGATCTGTCTGGTGTGACTATCTCTCTTAGGGTAGTGGGAGGGAAGGCCAACTTCTGGCCTTGTATTCTGGGATGCACTCAAAGAATGCAGCAAAGTAGTTTCATATTTTCTGGCTTTGAAAGTTGAATTACTAAACACCTTTCTAAACCCATACCATTGTACTGATCTGTTAACATATTCTTCAAATTTTTGATATTTTAATTTCTACTTTGTATTCTCCCTTCAAACACAGCAGATACAGAACACCATTATAGCTTTTGGCTATTTATCTGAAGTTATGTGTTTACAGGGAAAATTTCTGTTGCAACACAAGAATCAATGAAATGTATCTTGACTAACAAATGTTCAGATTACATAAAAACATTATGTTCAGTAGCTTGATTAAAGGTCAGAAAAATTAAGTTTTTTTTTTTTTTAATTGTTTGGAAAAGTCATATATTCAGCTAAAAAGCTTTCCCCTTTTTTTAACTTTTTGGTTTTTTTTTTTTTAAGAAAGGTAAGTTTTTACAGGAAACAGAATGAAATGAATATGTGTGTGAGTGAGGGAGGAATAAAGATGTATTTAATCTGTAATTCAGAAAAACTGTGTCCAGGATGGGAAGAGAGAAGGAACAAACTTTATTATCTATATGCAGGATTACTTCATCGTCGTTGTCTTCTGTTTCATTTGGGAGCATTTTGTCTTTCATTTTCCTTTTTTTCCCTTCACCTTTCTTTTTCTTAAGCAGGCTGTCCCAGTGAAATACTGTCACAACTCCTATAGAAAACTTAACAATGCATTGTAAAATAGGACACAAAGCAAAAAACTTCTTCTGAGAGCTGAGATCATCTCGCTGGCAAGTGCAGGCAGACCAGGTTCAGAAATTCCACAGTTTTCTCAGAGCCAGGGGGGTTCTGCAATTCTTGGTGTGCTATTGTCCCCTGCTGTTCACTTGGAAGCACTGAGTACAGAAATTGAGACATTCCTAACTGCACATTTTATCACAGTGTTAGTATGCTTTCAGAGAAAGTTGGAGAAGTAGTTTAAACAGAATAAAAAGGAATTGCTTTCTAAAACACTGAATATCAAATAAATTCCAAAGCAGCTTTTCCTACTCCCTTATAGGGTAAAAAGGAATATGATTCAGTTTTTGTCTAACGAATCTAGTTTCCTTTTTACATTTGTGAGGTTAGCAGAGACCATGTGAGTTAGATTTGGTCTCAAGAGTACCTCTGACAAAGACAGATCAGGGAGTAGACAGAGAAAATGGAGGGCAAAATGTGTAAAAAGAGGAGAAAATGAATGGAAATTTCTCAGAACAATTATGATGTAGGTTAGAGATTTTGTGTCTGGGGAGCTGATTTCCTGGTCCATTCTTCAGTGTTTAAAGAGATCAGAGGCCATGTCCTAGATGGAAGTCTACTGTGTGCAAGTGTGTATATATCAGCATGGGGAGTTACATGTTAAGTGCCTCTAGTTTCAGAACTCTGTTACCCATGGAGTGCTCACTAGTTCTTGCATGCCCCGGTTTTCAGTGGGATTAAGGAATAAGGTACAGAGGATTGTTAAATACAATTTAGAAGCTGGGGTCCTGCCTCAGCATTTGCTTTGTGCTCAGACTCCTTATCTGTGATGAACACAATTAGAGAAG